TCATCAAGATGTCCTTAGTAGTAGGTTAGTTCATCAAGATGTCCTTAGTAGTAGGTTAGTTCATCAAGATGTCCTTAGTAGTAGGTTAGTTCATCAAGATGTCCTTAGTAGTAGGTTAGTTCATCAAGATGTCCTTAGTAGTAGGTTAGTTCATCAAGATGTCCTTAGTAGTAGGTTAGTTCATCAAGGATGTCCTTAGTAGTAGGTTAGTTCATCAAGATGTCCTTAGTAGTAGGTTAGTTCATCAAGATGTCCTTAGTAGTAGGTTAGTTCATCAAGATGTCCTTAGTAGTAGGTTAGTTCATCAAGATGTCCTTAGTAGTAGGGTTAGTTCATCAAGATGTCCTTAGTAGTAGGTTAGTTCATCAAGATGTCCTTAGTAGTAGGTTAGTTCATCAAGATGTCCTTAGTAGTAGGTTAGTTCATCAAGATGTCCTTAGTAGTAGGTTAGTTCATCAAGATGTCCTTAGTAGTAGGTTAGTTCATCAAGGTGTCCTTAGTAGTAGGTTAGTTCATCAAGGTGTCCTTAGTAGTAGGTTAGTTCATCAAGATGTCCTTAGTAGTAGGTTAGTTCATCAAGATGTCCTTAGTAGTAGGTTAGTTCATCAAGATGTCCTTAGTAGTAGGTTAGTTCATCAAGATGTCCTTAGTAGTAGGTTAGTTCATCAAGATGTCCTTAGTAGTAGGTTAGTTCATCAAGGTGTCCTTAGTAGTAGGTTAGTTCATCAAGGTGTCCTTAGTAGTAGGTTAGTTCATCAAGATGTCCTTAGTAGTAGGTTAGTTCATCAAGATGTCCTTAGTAGTAGGTTAGTTCATCAAGATTGTCCTTAGTAGTAGGTTAGTTCATCAAGATGTCCTTAGTAGTAGGTTTAGTTCATCAAGATGTCCTTAGTAGTAGGTTAGTTCATCAAGATGTCCTTAGTAGTAGGTTAGTTCATCAAGATGTCCTTAGTAGTAGGTTAGTTCATCAAGGTTGTCCTTAGTAGTAGGTTAGTTCATCAAGGTGTCCTTAGTAGTAGGTTAGTTCATCAAGGATGTCCTTAGTAGTAGGTTAGTTCATCAAGATGTCCTTAGTAGTAGGTTAGTTCATCAAGATGTCCTTAGTAGTAGGTTAGTTCATCAAGATGTCCTTAGTAGTAGGTTAGTTCATCAAGGTGCATTATAACTCATCCTGTATATTCTTATATTGTTTTATCTTAGTGATCTACACAATCTGCGACTTCTCTACCTACCTAGTATCATTGTGTCAGCACCTTGACTGGCAGGATCCACTGCTTCTCTCCCCGGATTGGCAGGCGCTGGGGGGCTGGTCCCATCTTCTTCACTGATTGGCTGAGCTGGAGGGAGGCTCCTCTGCTCATTGGTCAGCTCTTCACCTGGGCTGATGGGCGAGCTTTTGGGAGAACGCACAGCCTTTTCTGGAGAGCTCGTATCTCTTAGGATGTCGAGGCTCAGCTGGAGGAGGAATAGAGCATTTGTGTTATTTCACACAATGAAAAGGCTTCCGATTATTTTACTTATTTACTTCCTGTTTCACATGCAGAACACGTACCTTGGTGGGCAGGAGAGGACGCTGGCCTTCTGGTCCTCTTCCTCTCTGCTTCTCTTCATGTTTTCGGTCACTCTGGTCCTCTTCTACTTGCAGCCTTCCTGCCTCTTCTGAGGAAAGAGAAAAACGCTTAATATAACATATTTGACTTTATACGCAGTCTGTTCAACACGGGATGAGAAATGTACAGTATCTACGATAAAGGCATTCTCACTCAAATAAATCTTGAAATGTAAATGATGAAATGCATATTATGCTGGCCACTTGATGGTATGTGTGCATATACTATATGCATGTTAATAAGCTGATAGGCCATCATTGATCTTCATTAAATTAGCAGTAGCAGAACCTATTATTCATATTTATTGCTCTGCACAAATTGCAGAAACTATAAAAATGTACTTTTCATTACCATTTCTCAATTTGTAATGACATTCTGCAGATACTTCCATTGATTTTATGGCATGCCCAGCTCTGGCCTGGAGCTATGTACGGACGTCTTAATTCCCCTTGAGCCAGAGTGCAGTCTGCAGCGATGTTTGTAACTGAGGATGTTTGGCTCATTATGGAGTCTAGACTTGAAATCAGCATCAACAATGTGCCGCTCTTTTTAAAGGGAAAGCGTACTTTTGAGACTGAACAAATCATCAAAACTTTAACAGGGTATATGCAGGAATCCTGAAGTCAAATGTAATACCTTTTAAGACCTTTTTTAAGACCCTTTCCATACATTTTAAGACCTCATCGCCACTTGGAGTTTTAACCGGTTACATTGGCGACACACTTTACCTCACATTTACTATATACAGTGTGGATTGTCCTTCCTCCTTATCTTCCAACCATTTGGACGCAAACTTGCATTTCCCCATAACGATGTTGTTTAACAACCGGCGTAAACGGACCTTCGCACGCTATCAAGCAGTGAGCGTGCGATGTCCTGTTCAGATGACGTCAAATCCAACGGGATGCCATAAATAAACTACACAGAATCACACTACACACCTACGCAATGATTATATTCAGACAGACTGTAGAATACAACCTCTTTGGACAATTTATATACTTATTGAAAACAAGCTACAAAATGTAATACCTTGGAAAATGCCGTTTAATACTTTTTAATAGCCTTAATTTTCGCTAAATTGATTTATCAACTTTTAATACTTTTTAAGAACCTGTGGACACCCTGTTTAATGATATTTATCTAACTTTTGCTTTTACAGTTTGTTAGCTTTCAAACTTTTCAAACGGCGTCTTTTGGGCTTTTTCCCCCCATCCGTACATTTCTTTACACTATGTTACAAAAACTGTAGATTTTAGAATTCTACATTAATGTGACATTATTTATAGTTATCATAATTAATGAAGGTCCCACAATAGAACCAAAAAAGGTGACACATTTTGAAAAGAGATTTTGATTCAAAAGTATCATTACAATTATATTTGACAGTAAATATACGATAGAATTACAATCTGACAATAATATGTTTATGCTCTACATTTCAATTGTTGTTGTTTAAAGTTAAATAAAATGGTGTTTGAAATAACGATGCCATTAGTATTTAACTCATTGATACAGAATCTGTCATATAAGATTATTACAATTTCTTTTAAAATTATTATTATTAGTGATGGTGAAAAAAAAACAATTTTCCTCAGTAATTGAAATAAAGTAAACTAAGTATGTAGTTTGAAAATGTTAATATTATGTAATACCACTTAATAATGTCAATCGTTTATTTAGTAGTAGCAGGTTAGTCTATTATAATGTTTTATAAATGTTTCTGTATATTTAAATGTTTTGTATTTGTTATACTCTATAGATGGATAGGATAGATTATTTTTTTGCAAATGTGTATTTATTTACAGTTTATTTATTGAATGTATTTTTTAGATGCTGCTGTATCATATTACAATTCCCAATTTGGAATTAATACGGTATATCTTATCTAATGTAAACATCTCATCCAACAAATATGCTGTTTTGTGCCGTAGGGATATTTTATAAACAGAATATACAGACATCTGGCCCTTCAGTCGAGGAAGGTGAAAACACTTTTCTAGTCAGTATAGTAATGCCAGTTTTCCACTAAGTTTAGTTACAAATATAAAGTCAGATAGGCTGTTTGTATGAGGGTTGAAATACACAATAACTAATGTCCAACCAGAGCCAAAGCAAGGTCAAATTCATTTTAAAAATAACTTGCTGTATGAGGTGCAGTACCTAGGCTCTCCTGCAGGTGTCTCTGCCTCATGACAGCCACAGAGGGCTTGCAGCTCTGTGGGGGGGGCTCGGGCCTGGCCTGGCTCCCCTCTCTGTCCTCCTCCACGTCGCTCCGAGGGTCTGTGAGGGGGACGATCCTCTCCTGCCGGACCCCCTCCGCCTGCCTCTCCGGCTGCTCCCTGGAGGACGCCACGTGGCCGTTGGTGTGGGCGTCGGGGGGCACGTCGGAGACGATGGTGGACCTGTCAGTATCCTGCTCCGTGTCTTTGATGTCGCAGGAGCTGCTGCCATCAGAGTCCTCGATCTCCGCCCCGATGCAGCTGTACACCATGCTGACCAGGTCTGTGGACTGGACAAAGAGACAACCATGGATACAAAGTCTGCAGAGCAACAAAAAAAAGGTCATTCCACTATACAAGGGGTGTCCAAACTACGGCCCGGGGGCCAAATGTGGCCCGCCATTTTGAATCGGCCCTCAGCAAATTCAAAAAGTATAATGGAATATAAATTCAGTCAATTAAAGTTGGAAACATTTTCTAACAAATCTAAGTTGATAAGGAAAAAGCCATGTTTCCCCTTATTATGAGCAATCTGAGGATTCTGATTTAAGGGAGGAGCTGAGAACTTTTTGCAACAAAATAAATGAAACCCTATGGAGAGCTGTGATTTAGGCTGTTTCTTTCTTAAGGTATTTTCAAGTATCAAACATAAATTATCTACATTTGATTGATTTGGCTGACTTATCACTGCAAACATCGCTGCTACAACCCGCTGCTGCAGATACACTCTTTACAACATCAGGAGGATACGTCCCCTCCTGACCCAGAAAGCTACGCAGCTTCTGGTCCAGGCTCTCGTCATCTCACGCCTAGACTACTGCAACTCCCTCCTGGCTGGTCTACCTGCATGTGCCATCCAACCTCTGCAGCTCATCCAGAATGCAGCGGCTCGTCTGGTCTTCAACCTTCCTAAATGTTCCCACACCACACCGCTCCTCCGCTCCCTTCACTGGCTTCCAGTAACTGCTAGAATCCACTTCAAGACACTGGTACTTGCGTACCATGCTGTGAATGGATCTGGCCCTTCCTACATCCAGGACATGGTTAAACCATACACCCCAGCAGGTGCACTACGCTCTGCATCAGCCAAACGGCTCGCTGCATGCACCAGCACTGCGAGGGGGACCCAAGTTCCCATCAGCAAAAACAGGAGGTGCGCTAGTGAGCACGCTCATGAACTGTTCGCCGGAGCCTCGCAGCAGGGTTACTGTGCGGAGCGCATAAAGCAGACCCTTCACGCGATATCGAGGGGTAGAGCGAGGGATCGCAGATGCCGTCGTGCTCGCAGACGGATTAAAAAAATTAAACCTAAATGGCTCGCAAATTATACTTTGGCAGCCATTAATAAACCTGGGCGGCCCGCCCAAGTAAAGTCTATGTGTGGGAAACCCTGCTATCTTACCAGTTCTTATGCAACTCGCAAATATCTCTCTCTCTCTCTCTCTCTCTTCTCTCTTTTCTATCTCTCTCTTTTCTCTCTCTCTCTCTCTCTTCTCTCTTATCTCTCTTTTCTCTCTCTCTCTCTCAATGTTTGTGCGCACATGCGCCTTTTTTCAAATGATCCGGTGCTCCTTTTTTGGCGGGGGGTGCGCATGCGCACCAGTTATGTGCAGCCCTGCACATATTCCTATACACTTCTGCAAGCTTCACACTCCAACACAGAGAAAGAGTAGAATAATCAGGTGGTGGGGAGAGCATTCATCTCTGCACTGTGTCGAGTCATGTGGAGCTATCGGAGTCGGAAGACATTTGTATTTGTATTGATGAGTTAGGATGAAAGCAGACCAAAGACATGGTTTTGAAACTATTCTGCCCGATTGGTGGCTTAACAGAATAATAATGCTTTGGCTTTTTGGATATGAAATACACATTTAGGAGTGTCACCATGCTTTCAGAGGTCCTGGAATTGTGCCAGGTATTGAAGCCAATTCACGTATTGGCCATCACTGGGATAACAACTACCATATACTGTAAGTCATGTGATGCCCTGGGGCCTCAAAAAACATACTTCCATTGACTAACTTTAGTAAAGGGACATTTGTAAATAACCGTATCATCTTTTTATTTTTTTTGGTAAATCAACTACCCAGAACAAACACTTAAAAAACTTTTATTTAAATTCCTGAAGTTTAAGTTCTTAGTAGTTGTGAGATGTGCTAATAACTGAATCGAGAGTTATTTAGCCTCTCTTTTGCTGAGACAGGCCACAAAATGCAAGGGGGACACAAAGCGAAAGTGCAAATGCTCAATGGATGCGGAAGATTTCCAAAGTTCCGAGGTCAGGCCATTTTGGCTTCAACCGCAACATTTCATAGCATCCAAAGCTGTTTCCCGTTCTCGTTACACATCCATGCCTGGAACTGGATCAGTTTTCACTGGTTAACGGCATAAGAGTTTGGATTTCTAGTGATCACAACACACAAACTGTGACTGAATGCTGTACCTGTCTTTGGATGAGGCAGGGGGGGCTGGAGGCTCTCAGCCCGTGCACAGGGACCCCCTGCATGGGCCGAGGTGAAGACATGGTCCCGTTTGCTCCTGGGACCGCGCTGTCTGGCCTCCCAGCATCCTTAGGGTGCTGAATCATCGAGTAGACGTTCTCTGAGGGGCTGTGGGGAAAAACACAATTTTTACGAGTAAATAGTCATTCTGACATTTTTAGGGTACAGATTTGACCTACGAGACACATCATTATGTAAATAAGTGTTGGGTTCTCTAACTTTCTGAATTAATATATGATGATATTGTAGTTAATGAACATATCTATGGCCCAGCGGCTGTCGCACTTCCCACACACTGAAAAAAGACAGAAGAAAACGGGTTCAGAGGTCATCCAATTGATTGCAACTACTTTGGCAATAGCTACCCTTAAGATGAGTCATCTGTTCTTTTATCCTCTTTCAGACTGCTGTAGGCTGCTGGATAACTTCAAAATGTAACTTCTATGATTATTCAACATTTGAAGCGATTGTGTCACCGGATTTCCCCCTCCCCAGAATTCCTTAAAGAGCCTTTGTCAGCTGAAACACACATGAAACTCTTTTTCTCCTCTATTGTCTGAAACTTAACTCCTTTCAAAAGGGGAAGTTTACAAAGAGTGCCTACTACGTGCAGTTCTCGCCCTTCTACTTTTTGAACTATGGGGGTGTTACGTAAGGCTAGCTTATATGTATGCAATGCCATTAATTCAAAGGGGGGAAAAACAGTTGGTGACAGCGAAATATTTTCTTCCATTAAAATATTTATGAAGGCAACGTTAATGCCCGGCGCTAGATTCATTTAACAGCCGTCTGGTTCTCTGGGTCCCTGCACTCAATTTAACTTTCACCCCCCCCCCCCCCCCCCCTTCCACTCGGCCGGGCCGCGTACTCACTCCGGGTCCTGATTGGAGATGGTGGAGTTGCGGTTCTTGCGGAAGCCGGAGAAAATTGACAACATGCTGCGTCTTTTCTTTCTCCTCAGCGACTGGCCCTGATGGAGGGACGACAGCTGACTGAAGAGGGAAGAAGAGGAGGGATACGAGAGAGGTTGCTGGTAAAGGAATGGACGGATACAATAAAGTTTAAGCTTTAATGCCAAAGCCATTAAGCGTTATTGACTGTACTACTGCAGAGTAAAAAAAACTGTTGTAAGTTAAAGCCCTGTATTCATATTGTACTAGTACAAGTTCATAAGTGTTAGCTTTAAAACGTAGAAGAAGCAAAAAATCTTACATTTTAAATTATTGGATTCAAATTATTGATGCATTAATGTGTTTATCACTTCACTGTTGCATTACATTAAATACTGCAATAATCAGACCAGTAAAAAGTACATTTGACTCACTCACATTGAATGTAGTGAAGTATAAAGTAGGATTTAGTGAAAACACCAATTGTTTTTGTTGTAGGACTTGAGATAATGTAATTAGCTACATTCCACTGTCAGTTCATCATCAATGGCTTGTGTATCATGCTGTCAACAGCTGACTAGATTATATCTAATGCTAATCAACCATTTGGTAACATATTAAGGTACACAAATTAACCATCAACTAGTTGTTAATTAACATGCATATTAGCAGTATATTGGCTCTTTATTAGTCATTATAAAACACGTATTAATGCCTTATTCTACATGACCGTATTCTACAAGTAATAAGCCATTAGTTGAGAGTTTTTCCTCAATAACCCTCTAATTAGTGCTTATTTGTTGCAAGTAAGGAAGTTGATGTACATGAGTTTTGGTCTTAATATGCTCTGCTCAATATGGGCCTAATAAGGCAGTAGTACCACAAGAATAGTAATTCTCCCATAATAACACTTAACAAATATGATCTATTCTTATGTAACAAGACATGAAACTATAAGTGTTAATTGTGTCTAAATAATTCAAAATTAGGTATTTATATCTAAGAACATGTAGAACAATGTCCCAGCCAGGCTGCGGGTGTGTGTGTGTGCCCAGGCTGAGTTCCGCGGTGTCTCGCTGTCTCGCAGACGGCCACTGGGCTCACAGGGAGGGGGCGGCAGGAGCTCCAAAAATTCGTTTAGGACAGAGAGTAAATACACATACTATACAGAGATGCTGTATGAGAAACCAATGTGGGTTTGGAATCATGCACAATGCACTTTTGTACGTCTTTTATACATGAATATGTGTCCCCGGTGTTCCAGGGAACTCACCAAGTGTCAGAAAACACAACCCTCTCTTTTCCTCCATACCCAAATCTCTAAAAACGGGGCTGCAACGGATCTGATACAGACTGATCCAGATTTGAATTCTTTCTACGTCACAAAAGTGGTGCTCCGCCTATATGGCCAACTCTCCACCTATCAGGGGAATGTGGGGTTGGGCCACGGCCGGCCATTGCCGCTCGAAAACGCTGGAGACGCTGTAGTACATATGCCAGGCCTGTAAGTGGTGCTGTAGTCTGCCACAAAAGCAGCGAAGAAGACTTCCCGCGCATAGTTACCATGGTTACCCTTCTGTTTATTCTCCGCTCTGGCTCTTTTTCTCCCTCCCCGAGGCAAGCGTTTGCTCCTGCTGCTGTAATTCAATGCAATCCCTCCCCGTCGAGGCAAGCACTGTAATCCTCTCCGGTTAGTCCACCAGCAGATGACAAACACCCACCTCTCAGCCTCTTCCAAGGAACGAGGGGACCGTGCGGCAGAGTTTCAGTTAGGTTTTTTTTCGCCGGTCAACATGTCCGTTAAAGTTTAAATCTTCCGGACAAAATTAGAAAAGTGCCGGTCAAAGGTCTTCTTTGTTATTTATTGAGCTTTAAAACAAATGAATAATGACTCTATATAATAATATAAGAATAAAACACGGAGGACGGAGATCTCTTTTTCTCCCCCTCTTCTGACAGCCCAGCAGCTGATCTCAAAGCACGCTCCCCTCTCCTGCAGGGGGGCGTGGTCAGCTGCAGCTCACAGAATCAGTCCCCTGCAAAAACAGGGCTGGAAAGAGCAAATAGAGCGAAATGAGGCATGGCTAAAATGCAGGATCTGTTTGGTATTTTGAAAAAAAAACTATATTTATATACTTTATATAGGTATGGCCCTACAATATATTGTTCAAATATAGCATGATAGGTCCACTTTAAGTATACCTCAACAATGGAATTATGATCAGTAGAAATGGCCATGACATGGGACCTTTAAAGTATTTTAATAGGCTGATATTTATAGGATAAATATTGATTTATTAAGGAAACCAAGCAGGTCTATGTCCAATCCGTCTTTCAGCACCCCCATATGGCGTGCATGGTATGAACTGGTGTTTCATAACCTCATTTCCCGCCACTGTAGCACTGTTAGATTGTTAGTCTAATCAGGCTCCTTTTCTATTCAAGGACACCACTTCCCTTTGACAATTTTTTTTTCTCCAATTCTCTACAGATGGTTTAATATATTTAACAGCAGGCATATTTTGTGATGCCTCAATGAATCTTGATAAAGCACTGCTGTGAGCATTGAGCACATTTGAGCTGTTAACATTCCACTAGGTTCACAGTTATTATGAAGCAACGCTGAGGGGAGCGATGGGCGAATAAAAAAAAATGATTTAATGGAAAGTGCCACTTACGACCAATACTAGCTTAAAATAGTTGATTTAATGCAGGGGTGACAACATTTTCTTGATTGTGGGCCATCTAAATACAAAATAAAGTAAATGCTTACATTTAAACCAGTTACACTACAAACAAACTGTCATCCTGGAACAGAAAACCCTGTCAACTGAAGATTGTATTAACTAAACAATACTTTACATTACACTAATTACTTGACTTTCCCACACATAACAAACATATATTTGTATCTACCGGTACTCAGAATTAGTTTTTTTAAATTTTTTTTAAATGAAGCCAACAATCAGTGTTTAAAATAGAATATGCAGTGTATTTGAAACCCACTCAATGAATATTCTGTTGTTTTTTTAATTCAACAGGCTAAAGAAAAACAAATGGTTGTGTTTCTCTAACATATAATTGTTTTCCCATGGATCTGTAAACACAGAGAGCCAGTTCTGTCTGTAATAAAGAGAAAGCACATTGTGCGTGACCGCTGTGCACTTCCAAAGAAAATGAGTAAGGAAACAGAAGGCTGCGCTGTGAAAGTAAACAGCATAATTTAATCCATATATTCGAGTATGTTCCGATTACAGAACAAATGGAGCTAAAAATGAGGCCTCTGTTTAGTGCAAATGGAGTCTCTCCATTAAATCTGCAGCAGAGTGCTACAGCAGCATGCTGCTCATTCATCATTGATACTATTACATGACATGAGTACAAAAGCAATATATAAATATATATGCACAGAGGAGGACATCAATAGTCCTGTTTAATGCATGTAGTATGAAGTGTATATAACATACAGGAGGAATACTTCTTATGTAGGTATGTGGTTATACATTGCAATTGTTGTTGCAGTACAGTAGGTTGAAGTTATTTTTGAGTACAGAGCAAATGTGACCTATAGTAAGAATTCAAATGTGATTCACATCTGTATACACATTATGTCAGTATAACTCATATTGAAATGTTCAATTACATGTATTTAACCTGTTAACTTAACTTCTAAAAGGGTTATATGAATCATTTCTTTTATCAAAGCAAGGTTACATCTGTGAGTTGGATGTAGAAGTGTCAGAATCAATATAGATGTTTTTTATTTTAAAGAAAATTCAGATTTTTCATAGTAAAAAACTGTAAATTATAGTGTCCGTCCAAATATTCTTTTTTACTTATAGTGAAAACTACCCTTGGATGATGGGTTAGTAGACTAACAGCTTTAGGAATCCAAAGTACAACATATAATAAGTACCCTGTATCAAGATTGATGCAAAACAAGTGACATTTGACCTTTTTAGGTTTAGCCAAAACCACCCCACCTCTGAGGTGATTTGGGTGAAAATGTTTTTTTTTCCATATCTCTGGCCCCCCTTGCTCGATTTGGATGGTTGACACCTCTTTCTGACCGTTAGAGCCAATATAATCGAAGGGGGAGGCCCCCACACACACACGTTGTGAAGAGAAGAGGTGGAGGCTTCGCGCATGTAATTTTGCAGCATTTTTCGCTCTGACATTTGGAAACGAAAAAAGCAGTTTTATTGCTTATGGATTATCAGAAATAATTTCAAAGAGGACACAGACACATTGGATTAACCTATGGATTAACTGCAGCATCGTTTTTTTTAATCGTTTTAATGCCATTGAAGACCAGTTTTGACCAAGGTAAGCCATGTTAGCGTTTCTAGCTACCTAGCTCCACATGTTATGATGTACGCTTTCGTTTATCGCGTCGCAAATGTTTATCACTGAGTGTTGAGGTGGGCACCCCCAGATTCTGTGTCTCCAGGAGATGCAAAATGAGGGGTTGGCTGTGCATCTAGGATAAGTAATAAGGGAATTAGAGTGAGTTTAGGTGCAGAGATAGGTTACATTTTTTCGCTCGTGGCTCATTCAGAGGCTGAGTATTAGCATTGTCGTTTTTTTTTGAATTTTCTTTTTAAAAAGATCAGTTAGCTGAGTTTCTTCCCCGTTACATGGATATAAAACATTCATAGTTTATTAAATATTAAGATTCCTTAGACGTTGTTTCCTGCAAATGACGCGTTTATCCGCCCGGTACCGGGGGGGCGGTGCGTAACAGGTTAAAGAGGACATGCTAATTGTCAAGTTCATATTTGTATGTTTTGCCTCTACTGTGACATGTAGAGATGTCCCGCCCCTTATCCTAACTTGTGTTGGAGCGCTAGCCAATAGAAGCGTGTGTGTTACATAATGATGTCACTATGTTACAGAAGTAAACAAAGGAGTCCAATGGAGGCGTTTCAGGAAGGGTGTGTGGGAGAGAAACTCACTCTGTCTTTTTAGCCTTTTTTAACATTTGGAGGAGCATTGACTGACACATCCAATACATGTTTTAAAGTTCAAGAAAAGCTTCACCTGTCAGGTAGAACTCTCTTGCTGTAGAAGTCAGGCAGTCCGTCCTCCATCGTACTGGCTCCTCCGTTCTCTGAGCCGTGCTACAGGAAACAGATAGAATAGCAGGATAGCAATGATCAACCCGCCATGTCGACAGAATCTGAACGGCTGACAGAAGGTATTATGGTTCTAAATGTCTGGCTTGCAGGAGTGAGTCCACTGCCAACAGAAGTGTGTTTGTAAAACAGCTCCTGATCATGCTGCCCTAACAGAGTTTGTACCGATTTAGAAAAAGCCTTTTACAAAATCTCCAAACAAACAAGCCGCTAAGTGAGAGGCTGCCCCTGGGAGGTGGCTGTGCGTGATTAACATTTGAGTCACAGAGACATACGCGACAGCTTCCTGCTTTATAAAGAAAGAGGGACTTATTTTTGGAAAGTACCCCTGGCATAGAAAACCAGATAAATAACAACATTTCACACAAAGGAGATAAAAGAGGCCTTTGAGAACTAGATACATGCTGGGTTTACTTTCTCAACATAGACTTAACTTCAGCGTAAGATCAGAAATAGGGCAGTTCAACATACACTGATGTCACCTATATAATACAGACTCCATTACCTTAATTAAAAGAGCCAGATGGAATTAAAAAAGTACATTTTTGGGGTGGACAAAAAGCCATTTAGGGTACTTCGTCACTTGCTCGAGGAATAATGAATATTCTTAATTAGGTCGAAGGTTATTCCCATAGACTTACAGATTCAGGGGGAGGGTGCCCCGCTCTGTGTCTCCGTGGTGGGCGGGGCCTGACGTGGGTCACGTGACGCAAGGGCGAGCCGTTTGTGGGGAGGGTGGTGAGACACTCCCATGATGCAGAGTGTGTAAGAGGGTCGGAGTGCGGTGGAGCAGAGGGGGTGGGAGAGGGACTGGGCTCATCACCAACACCTAGACAAAATGACAATGACTTTAAAAGGAATAGTTTTCTGGTTAAATTACACTGTTTGTTAGTTTTTATGACAACCCCTTTTTACAACTTGACAACAAATTCACCTTATTTCAAAAACTTTCACCAACTTGCTGAAACATGCAAAATGCTTCAAATAAAAAATGCTGAAAGAAGCTCAAAACATAATGGAAAAAGGGACATCAGAAAGTGATGCACACAGCTGGGACCGGAGAGCTTGTTCAGGGATTATAAAGTTGGCCAACTGTCACTGTTGGAACAGTTAGTCTGTTTCATATTTGTCAGTATATTTGAAATGAGGTTGGCTATTTTTGAACAATATGATCACATGATTTCTTCGATATTATTGGAAGTCTGCAAGCTAGCCAACGTAGCTAGCTTGCAGACTTCCAATAATATCGAAGAAATCATGTGATCATATTGTTCAAATAAGCCAATAAAACTTGCATTTTAGGTACGTTTCCAGGGACAGTTGACACGACTTTAGAAAGCCCAAATATCAACAAGCCCAGGTCCCAGCTGTGCTCTACTTTTTAGTGTCCCCGTTTCGATCATGTTTTCCCATCGTGCTTTACTTGCATTGTTTTATATTTGCAGCGTATTGTATTTGCAGCGTATTGTTTATGCATCACTTTTGGTAAACACTTCACATGTTTTATCAAGTTGGAGATGTTTCTTCATTTGTATGTGTTTTGGCCCATTTCTGTTTTTATATTTGCAACCTTTTTTGTAAGCTGCAGCACGTTTCTCCTAATGGAGCTATTTTGGGAAGTATTAACACGTTTGCACCTGTAGGCCACCATAGAATGGATATAAAGGCCACTTAAAAAGGCTTTATCCTTCAATTTTAAAGATTAAACGTACAAGATTTAATAGAGTGGCAAATAACAAAGTCCATATAAGCATACGCATTGGGGAGGAATATAGTTGCACACCAATTTAAAGTTCAAGTTAAACCAATTAAAGAACTTTCTCACTGTATTACAAGTAAAAAGTGAATTGACCATGACCATGCTAATATTGTGATATAATATCAGGCTATGTTAGCACTTGAGGCTAATTAGCAGCTAGCGGAGGCACAAAACACTCACTGGGTCTGGTGGAGACGGGACGGATTCTTCTAGTTCTGGAGCTCCGCTTCTTTATAGCCATTGTGTCCTTTACAAAAAGAGAGAAATGTAAAATGCACTTTTATTTCAAACACTGCAGCCAAATATGTTAACATAAATGTGAGAACAGCACAACAAAGCAAGCAGAAAGAATCACGGGCTTATGTATCGTATTTTCAGTAAAACAAATTCCATTTTCGAAACCATTTTAAACCATTGGCATAACTGATAGTCCCATTTCTAGAAGATGCTCAGTTAAATCAAAATTGGAGAGAATTTCTTTATAAAAAAAAAAACTGGCTTTTTTGGATAGAAAATATGTTCCCTCTTCTACAACTGGCCACGGCAGATGGTGATAGACAGATGGTTTGTCCAATCACCTGCCAAGGCAATTTTTCAAAGTGCATGCCCTTTTCAGAACAGTTTCCAAATGACAGCTTCTCATATGGTTCTGCGTAACAAACCATCTGGTACATGTACCACCTGTACAAATAGAAACTCTCAATCCACCGAACACACACATAATGTGACCTGCTCTATCAAAATCAGTCACTTTGACCCCGAAACACATTTAAAGTTGTAAACCTTGTTGGAAAGAGTAGCTTTTCAGCTTTTTAATGACAGAATTATTGTTCTCCAAATACTCATATAAATAGCAAAATATGTCACATAAAAAAATGAGCGTTGTCAAGAAACAATTATTAGAAAAAGGCCTTCAAAGTAGATTTTTTAGCGAGAGTTATTTTAAGGAGGGGGCTCATAGCTTAATATTTTGGCGGCATAGTAACCCTTGACCACCCCCCAAGATTAGTTATGATTCTGAAATCTTTTTGGTGTATAACAAAGCTTGTTAGCAGGCTGCCTGCTCTCATACTGTTCAAGTCATTATAAGCATCGAGGACGAGGATGTTATTTTTACTCAGATGAAGGGAAATCACGCCAATGAAAGTTGATTGTATTTATGTATTTTGAGAGGAATCACACAACACACACCACCTGTTGTAACGCCTCTTTTGTTGAGTTGCGTTGTTTGCCACTTGCCATCGTACCTTTACAAGCTTCAACGATGTATTCATCACTGGAGCTCTGCTATATTTTTAATATTCTTAAAGCCAACCTTTGTTTTTCTTTGAAATTCGACAAAACCCTCTGTCCGAGGACGTAGCGAGGGTTCACCTTTTATCCGCATGCACTCGGACACTTACTATTCCCAGGTTGACACCAAAGTCCTCATCGGGAAATTCCAGGGACTCAACCATCCTGGACTGTCTGACGGTGCGCCGGCCCGTCCCGACGTCATCCCAGCGCTTCGCCTGAGACACCTGCCGCAGCTGATAGAACACACAAACATACATTTGCTGTTATGACACCTGGATCAATAAAACCCTTCTGCACAATCTCGGAGGAGAAGCGAGCCCGCCCTTGTACGCAAGAAGCTTACAAAGAAAGCATAGCGCTATAGTTGAAAAGACCATGAATAAAACACAATTTCCTGATGATCAAACCTGAGTGAGGCAAGATAGAGGACAAACTGGCACTGCGAGAAGAGAAAAAAGGTAGAAGCAAGGAATGGAATGCAAAGCAGCAGCCAGCAGTTTTATTGCCTGCTTTTCCAGTTTTTTTTTTTATACAATTCAATTAAATGGAGAGGAAAAACCGCAGGCTCTAATCACGTCCTTTAACGGACTCAAAACTCTGTTGTTTCTCGAGGCAATATTCTCCTATATTTAAAAAGCCTTCATCTTGATGTGGTAATGACATAGCAGCACAGCTCTAAAACAGTCCCTACTTCACTTAAAGATCCTCAAAATGAAAAGATACACAGACTTTTTTGACAGCATGAGAGATCACAAACATCCCACACATCACATTTTAATGGGTACTCCACGCTGGAGAAAAGTCTTTGATAAAGAGACCAATAATGAGCTGCTGCACTTCACATCAAATTGCACTTCCGCTGATTCTCCACTCGCTAAAATGTTTGTTGACTTGGACATTCCTGGGCCACTCTGGGTGGAAATCTCTGCACTTTGCTCATGTAGCTATAGGCACACTTGCACATATTTGGCAACATTTGATCAATAATGTTTGTGGATCTGATAAACAGCACACTAATGTATTCCACTCAGCAGACAACTCGCTTTAAAAAATACAGTGTTTTCAGATTAATCCATGACTCATCTTACTAGAGCAAAAATATCGCCTCACTAAATGAAATGAATCATCATGTAGTAGACCAACACACTGCACAAATCAATGGAGGATTTTAGCAACGGTACAATATACGTTGTTGCTTTTTGAGAGCAGCATGAAATGTATTTGACTCAGTGATAGCTCTTTTTAAAGTGTGGAAACATTCTAACCAATTAGAGTTAGTCGTTAGTGATGCAGGGGCCAGTCTGCAGGTTGTCAATCACTTCCAACCTACTTCAGGAACTTGGATAAATGTAATGGGGTTCATATAAATTAGGACAAATTGGACAATGATTGGAATATTTGATGCGGTGCTGGAAGTTGTAATGTTTTTTGGCTGAAATTGTTGTGCCTTGTTTATTCAATGTTGGCTTTGATGACATTCATTGCCACAACAAGATCAGCAAGATCAATCGATATATAATAATTGTGGTCTCTATATTGATCAATATAATGGATAATTCAGTGGAAAAGGCAAAAGGCAAAGTTTGGATATTTGAAAAGGTGTGTGTATTTTGCAATATTGAAAATAATGTGATCCTTGGTTTATCTAAAGGCTGATCGCAGGAGCCGGTCGGATGAGCTGAAATTAGTCAAAGGTTATTGTTATAGAAGATTGCAGTGAAAGTTTTTTGAAAATGGGGGGGCACTTTCTGTGGATTGCACCACTGTTGCGAAAACTGTTTGGTTAGAAATGTGAATCACGTTTTTAGGTTACAGACCAATGCCAATATCTTTAAAGGGCACATATTCTGTGTATACATTTTGATGTTGAAATGTGTATTTTGTGCCTCTACTGTGACGTTTACATGCGCTAATGTTCAAATAAACTTTCTTTTTCTCATACTGCCTATGCTGCAGCAAATCTTTTGACTTGGTTGGCTGTGAGATGTCACGTTCAATGTGTTGGAGCGTTAGCCAATAGGAGCGGAGCGTGAGTGTTACATAGTGATGTCACCATGTTAAATAAGTAAACGAAGGAGTCCAATTGAGGCGTTTCAGGCATGTAAATGCAGACCATTTACATGCACACAAACCTATATAACACACTGCAGCCCCAAGGAGCATATTAGGGCCCCTTTAAGTCGTCTTTGCATTGACGTTATAGATTAAAGAAACATTTTGTTCTACATTTCTACATAGAAGTCATGCAGTAAAGGGGTATTACCAGTACCAGGGTTTTATGGGTGGTGTACAGCTCTTGTAGAATCTGATCCACTATGGAGTTGGTCAGATAGGAGACCACAGACAACTTCACCTCCCTGAAAGAAAAAAAAAGGAAAGCCAAGGGAAATAGAGGGAATTACAATTCCAGAAGTGTCTCGGCATTCATTTGTGTCTTCCCTTTGAACTTCTTTCACCCGCTTCTTACTCTAAAGCTCTGTTGATATCCTCCGCCGCTCGCTCCATCAGGGCACTGCGGATGGCGGAGCGAGGGATGGAAACTTGCTCTGAGATGGACGAGAGGGGCGGGTTGAGTCTCTCGGCGGCGGAGCAGGACATTGGACACAGCTCGCGGCACAGCGACACCATGGAGTCCACCACCACCTGTTTGCAGACGAACACACACATGCATCACTACACATAAATTACATCTCGCAACATTTATAATGCACTCTGAATACACCCACGTTCGTGTTTCCCAAGCGTTTAATTATTCATGTACACTGTTTCTTTATCTCTTCCCTTAGATTTTTCATCCAGCTCCTTTACTCTGACTTGTTGTCATGTTTTATTTATTTGCACTGCAGCAAAGCATTCAGCCATGTATAGACTGCTAACAAGTCATATGATCTGCTCACCTCATTTTAATTGATCTTCACTTATGCAAAATTAGAATTGGAAAGCACAAACAGAAATGAAAATTAAGCTCAAGTAATTCAAAAGAAAGTATTCCAGATTCCTCCTCAGGGCGTGCTGTTTGAATTTTTTTATCATTCGACTCATACTGAATCCCAATGGGAGTGGAACTAAAAGAAATGGTAAACTGTTCCCTCCCTGTGAATTTGAAATGCTCCATTTCGTTTGAAGTCAGCATACCTGCGCCGCACACACAGCCCCGCGGGCAATTTAAATGCAACTAGTCCAGAGCTGCACTACTGTTTAAAATACGGTTGCATCGGGGGAATGGCTATGGTAACGTCCGTGCTTCCCCCCCCCCACCGCCGACCTACCTGCAGCTCCTTGTCCGCGGCTTTGGCCAGTTCTCCAGCCAGAGTGTCCAGACGCTGTTTGACGGGGCCGTCCACTGACAACACATGGGCCAACTCACACAGAGAGGGATACAGCTATTACACACAAATACACACAAAAACACGCAACAGGAAAGGGAAGAAAAACGGTTAAAATCAGTGGAACAATTCATTTAACAGAATATCCCCTTTCTGAAATGTTTATTATCGTATTTATAACTGTTGATGGATTATCAATAATATGTAAGGATAGTTTAGATATAGCAGCAGCTAGAGTTAGAGTTAGAGTTAGGTCACGATATACCATGACGCCTGATTAGTGCTGGGCGATCTGAAGGAAATCAGTAGTACCCAATACCTTTGATCAAATACCTCGATATTGATAGGGTAGGGTTGATCATTTATACTTTCACATAATATTTCAAAAATAATTATTACTAATGTAATGACCATGTCGGTAAAGGCAAATAATAGAAGAGCTAACACAGTGTGATACATTCAGAAAACTTACATTACTAAAAAGACTACGCTTACAATATTTTGATATCTAAAATCTGTAGTCTCATATAACGATATTAATGTAACATTGATGATAAATAAAAAAACTTCAAAAATGTTCTCGGTTTGGTTTGTTTCTCTATTTGTCAGCAGGACTGACTGATTCAATAAACTTGTTACATTTGGCATGGGACATTGAAGATCCCATTACAATTTGGTGCGGAGGAAAGGGCAGATAGAAGCATTATCTTTCACTCTCCGAGTGCCCTTCTAGTTCAAACAGAAACGTTAATATTCATAAGCAGTTGTGTGTCTAGACACCTGGCAAATGTCCAGTCTAATATTCACTTTTCTTTTGCCTCATTTTTGGGATCCACCAGCACCTGAGGGAAATATCTGGCTCTCTAGCTGCTAAATGCTTCAAAACGACAGGCAGCTAGCTAGTGGCCAACATTGTCTGTATGCCATTTGATGATTGGCATCCAGTGGGCTGATCAACTTAATAATATATAGAATAAAACACTTCATTTATATACTGTAGCACCTGTCTGCAAGATGCAGCAAAAAGTGCTTTACAGATAAAATATATAATCCATTGTTAATATAAAACCCTTTGTTATGGTGCTTTAAGTAGAGTCCCTGAGGAAAGGTAGTTTCGGTCATTTCCACTACTGGTTAAAATACAGAAACTTACTTCCTCCAAGTGTCTGACTCACACATCCTATATTTCTATATGTGCTATAACAGTTTCACAGTCTCACGTGCTTGAAATAAAGTGTTACTCGACTCACAGCTCTGGAATCCCTGGCTTCCTTCAGGATTTGTCTGGCCGTCTGGACCTCCTCTCCCTCCTCAGAACCTTTCAGGACACCCACCTGCTGCTGCACTCGCACACACAGACGCTCCATCACCTACACACACATCAAACACACAATGAAATAGACGTACAGCCAGCAATCGAGCATTTTATATTTAGTCATGAAGTACTCTTTGGACAAGATTCATTGAGATTTGGTCATATTTTATCAAATGTTTTGTCTTTTTTAGTTTTTTCTTTATGCGACATTTTAGCTAACTTTTAGTCAAACGTTACCATTTTCTCAGGTATCTTGTAAGAGAGAAAGGGAAAGAAAATGGTGGAAAAAATGGAAGAAAAAGTGGAAGGTGATAAAAATAATTTTAGGTAATTATTTCGTTTTTTTTGTAAAAAGTATTTCTGATTCATTGGGGAATCTTTTCATAATTTTATCTTAAAACAGGGGGGGGGGGGGGGAATTGCATTTACACAATTTCTGCCATAGTTCTTCTACCAAAATTCTACCACTGCATACAGTTCACGAGTGCACATAAACAAATATGTCAGCAAAATACACATTAAAATACAAATAAAAACTTGACTTATCATCATGTGCAATAATACAGACACACACCTGTTCTGCCGTGCTGGTGACGAGGCCCTGGTGCAGCCTGAGCGCCTGTTTCTGGGAGAAGTGCTGAGTCTGATTGTTCCTAAGCAGAGCACGTTGGATCTGACACACACACACACACACACACACACACACACAGAAAGAAAGAGAGAGGAGTGAAGATGACAGGTGTTTACAAAGCACAGTGCGAGGAAGACAGGAGACAAGCCTATTTGCATGGTAATAAGGAGAGCAGTTCTGACAACATAACGCCATGTCTTTATTTATTTTCTTGACTCACCAGATGGAAGTGCTCGCAGATTAATCATTTTAGGTATAAGAAAGGATGGAATCAAGGACTTTCACTGTCAAGAGCACACAGACAAGCAGTGGTGGAAAGTAACTAAGTACATTTACTCAAGTGCTGTATCAAGTACATTTGTGAGGTACTTTACTTGAGTATTTCCATTTTATACTACTGCTTACTACATTTTGGAAGCCGATATTTTGCTTTTTACTCCCCTGCATTTATTTACACCATTAGTTACTAGTTACTTATGCATAACTAGTACATTACAGTATGTTGTACTATAATGGATGGATGTACCAGGCTGTGTATACATCTTTTAATTTTATCCGATCCTTTACCAGCTGCAAAATAACTGGTCCCTTTGGATGAGTTCCTTTAGAATTGGTACATAAGTAAATATTGATGCAAATACTTTTATACTTTAACTTAAGTAAGATTTTGAGTATTTCTACATTGTGGTATTATTACTTTTACATTGACCTGTTAAGCCCCAAGCCTGTTTTTCAGGTCTCAGACTCGATTCCCAGAACAAATGACTATATCTTCACTTCTAAAAAGGGTAAATTAATAATCTTTTTTCTCAAAAGCAATGATAAACCTGTGAGTTGGATGTAGAAAAGTCAGAATCAATATTTCATTTCATTTAATTGTTTATTTGAACCGGGACAGTGCACATTAATGAACTTTTTAAATGTAAATGAGCCGGATTTTAGCTTTGAGCTAGTTTCCATCCGTAGTCCCGTCACATACAACATATAGATGTTTTTATTTTAAAGTAAATTCAGATTGAACATAGTAAAAAAAAATGTAAATGATAGTTTCCGTCCAAAAAGAAAACCCATTACTTAGTGAAAATCACCCTTGAATGATGGGATAGTATCCAAACTATAACATATAATAAGTACCCTGTATCAAGATTGATGCAAAACAAGTGAAATTTGACCTTTTTAGAGAGGTTTAGAAAAGAAAACCCACTTTTGGGGTCATTTGGGTGTATTTGCCATATCTCTGGAACCCATCGGTCGATTTTGATGATTGACACCACTTTTGAACCGTTAGAGCCAATAGAATCAAGGGGAAATTCCTAGAATCCATCTAAACATTACCATTGGTGAATGAGTGATGCGCAGCCAGCATGCCCAACCGTAAGCTCTCATACACTCTCGTAGCTCTCATAGCAGCTATATATGAAAACTACTCTTATGCGGCTTTCACACCGGCGCTTTTCACTTTCTAGCTCCTCGCGAGAGCTTTTCTGGTTCAGCTCCGGTTTCCCTTTTCAGCTCCCGCTCTGTTCACACTGCCCAGAGCTGCCGCTGCTGCGTCATGACGTCACAGTTTACGTCGCTGATTTTCTCCCACAACAACAACGGGCCGGGGACTGCGTCGGGTCGATGATCGTGTTGCTTTTAATCATACGAAGCCAGATTAAATTAAATAACGACTTCTCCAACCTTATACTTTTCTCCAGAGTGCCGTGGTTCATTGTTTATTAATGTGTTTCAGCGGCATTTACCGACCGCTGCAGTGCTGGCTGCTCTTCCACGGGAGTTTATTCTCCCGTTAGCTCCAGGTTAGCTCACACGGCTCTAAAGTATTCACTGTCTGACTGTCACACAAGCAGCTGATACATATCCCCAGTTCCCCTTAAGTGAATGTGTGTCAGTCTGAATTGACGCTGTTTGGCATCACAACGCTGTTATGAAAGTTTCTCTGGTATAACATGGGTGATGTTAGCATAGCAACCGAAGCTAAACTGACTACTTGCTAAGCCGTGTTCTACAGGCACATTTTACCGGCGTATTTTTCATTATGATTCTACTTGTGATAGTCGGACATGACAACCTGTACAGCCCATGTATCTCCACAATGATCAATAACAGCGAACGGATGGTCAAAGTAAGGTTTCCTGCACGCCTCGACGTAAGAGACGTAAGCGACGCCGCGTCATAGCTCCGAAGCTCTTGCCTCTGGACCGACAATTTTTTGGAGCTGGAAGTGAACCGCATTCCGGAGCTATGACGCGCCGCCGCTGCGGTGTGAACAGGAAAAAACTGCGCTTTTCAGGCTCTAGCTCCCAGCAGGAGCTGGAAAAGCGCCGGTGTGAAAGGGGTATTATTGACATAAATGTTATGATGGATTATCAGTAATCATTTCAAATTGAGAGAGACATTGGATTAACCTTCAGCAGCGTTCTTATGCGTTTTAATGCCATTGAACGCAACTTTTGATCAGAAAACAGCAAAGGTAAGACGTATTTGCCGTTTTGGCCCCGTAAAGCTAAGTTGTGTGTTGTCTGGTTTCGCCTTTGCTGCCGCGAGTTTTGGTCGCACAGTGATGATACTTATACCTCTGGAATCTGTGGAATTTCAGCTTTCATATGCTCTGTTTGTGCAGATCAGAGGAAGTATAACATATTTCTACCGTGAGTTATGTGCTAAGTGCGTTAGCACTCTTTCGCTTAGTGCTAATTCAGACGCTTGGCGTTAGACTTGTGTTTTGTTTCGGTAAAAATGGTTCATATCGTCAGTTAGCTGAGTTTCTTCCCGTTAAGTGGGTATGACACATTCATAGGTTGTTAAATGTTAAGAAGCCCTGAGACACAGTTTCGTGAATATTGGGGGCATGGGGTTTAACAGGTTAAGGCCCTATTATGCTTTTGGGGGTTTTGTCTGCAAAGGCTAAAATCCAAAAGTTCCCTCCAGAGGGAGTTTATCTTCCACACACTCCCCCCCGGCGTGTCGGCGTTGTTCGACAGCGGTGCGGTATGCTAATGATAACACCTGGGTAACACACGCCAAACATGCTAAATCATATCAGAAGGCATCACCCAGATTTGCCAATCACCAGAGCCCGGCGAAAGACAACAGCAGTTCAACAGCTTATCCCCGCTGTTTTTAAGAAGCCAATAGACATGCAAGCCGAGAGACCAAAATAAATAACGGAAGCTATTGGCATATATATTTCAACGGCTATGCGCCTTTGAAACACTTTCTTATTATTTATTTTGTAATATTTTCAAGACATACTTTTTCGTTTTACAGCTTGATGAAACCTTCTTGTTTGACATCAGCCATTATAGATACTATGGCCATCTGAGTGTGTGTGGTACTGTTTGTGGTTTGTTTTTAACTGTGTAATACAGTTAATTATTCAAAATGTTAGAGTTCCTTATTTTTATACTGAAACTTGCACTACTGTTCAAAAATAAATTACAACAAACCTGGAATTATGCATTTGGGACTTTTTTTTTAGCTTTTTCTTGTTGTACCGAACCCGTACCGAACCGTGACCCCCAAACCGAGGTACGTACCGAACCGTGAATTATGTGAACCGTTACACCCCTAGTCACCAAGGTTCATGTTTTGATAGCATTTTTACAAAAAAGCCCATTGGTTAAAGGTGGGTTAGGTAATTTTGGAGAAACCAGCTCGAGTGCGCTAGAATTTAAAAATATACAGCCGGAAAAAATCTGCCACTTCCTTACAGAGCCCCTCCTCCAACACACACGAACGCGAACATGACCAATGAGGGCACGAGATAAGTTTGTGCACAGATGGAAGGCTGACAGGCAGGTAGGCCATTCAGTTATTTTAGCCGGGCCGGCTAAAATGATTGGTCGTGCTTTTTACAGTACTACGGCTTCCACAGATGACATTTTTTATGGATTTTTTGTCAAAGCACTTAAGATATTCATTGCTATCGGGATGTTAAGAACATTCCATGGAATATAACAAAAAGTGTATCTCGAGCCGGTTTCTCAAGCTATCAAAAAATATTTGACAGCTTGATAGCTTATAAAGTTGTATATTGTTACATCATAGACAAAAACTACAGTTTTTTTGCATTTATTATTTATTACATTATAGAAAACTGTTAACCTCTAATAATAAACAAAGAACTCTTATAAGGAGAATTTAAAAAAATACACAGGCCTACTTTAAAATAAATCAACACAGCACTTGGGGAGTCCTCTGCACATTTGAAGAAAATGAATATAATTAAAATGGGCCGACTTTGAAATAAATAAAACATATAGCTGCACCCTAAAAAGAGTTAACTGATTGAATTATGACTGAAGATCGTCAGCAGTCTTCCTCTTCCGTGTTGTTCCTCCAATACGTAAAAGCTGCAGCACCTTTGATAACTTCTCTCCACATATCAAACATCCCGGTTGATTTATCCATAGTTCGCTCATCGAGCCGGGGGTCAGGTTATTCGCATGCAAGAAAAGGCGCTGGTGCGGGACCGTCGCAGGATATGACGCATATTTTAGTTGACCTAATTAAAACCGTTTTGTTTTTTTAAATGTATGTGTCACAGTATCACCTAAAAATACAAGATATGAAACATTTTCAACCGTGCAACAAAATATAAATGGTCCTACTGTACAAATATTTTTATTTTATTTCCTTCTTATTTTTGTCTAAACTCAAGGGAGCCAGAGTAGAGGGCTTAAAGAGCCGCATGCGGCTTGAGAGCCGCGGGTTGCCGACCCCTGGGTTAAGTGGTCCTTGGTATGAAAAAGTTTGAGAAACAACCAAAACAAATATCAAAAAGAATAGCTCCACAGCAGATCTATTTCTGATGTGAGGAAACACCTTCCGTCTAAATATGTTGAACTGGTGTAAAAATATACTGTTGATGTTTTCTGGAGATGTATCAGAAATTCTCCTTTATCCTCCGAGCTCCTAGGGTGGTGAGAAGTTTTGTGCGAGTGATTGACAGCTGAGCCGTCGGGGGAAAGGAGTTTGATGTGAGATGTAAACAGTCTCGCTCTGTTAACTGCAGCTTACAAGCCAAGTGACAAACAACATTTAGCAGTGGTATAGACTAAGAAAACCACACCATTCACGATCGGACCTGACAGATCTTCATGTTTATCTTATCTTTCCCGTCTAGAAATGTCAGATTTGCTCACACTCTTTGTCTTAGCATGCCGTCTGGCTGTCGGTAAATGTCACGGTCATGGCAGTGAGGATGCTACCGCTTTGATTTAGTGTTTTGATTGGCTGTATGAAAAGAAACGTCTCTGGTGACACAGACGGATAACTCATACCCCAACAGACGGGTTGCCGCCGTGATCAACAACATTTGAAATGCGTATTCGCAGGCACTGACATTAGAGGACATCGATATTCAGAACACATCGATGTGTCGTAGAAAGGAAATGAACACGTTAGCTGTAAAGGAGATCCATCACTTATTATATATTTTGAAGTATATATGAGAGGTAAATACAAATAGCAGATAACTATAAAACGGTTTATTGTCTTGACTCCGCGGATGCTTACTGCTTCACCATCTTATGTATAAAAAAGTTCAAAGAGTAAGACGATGTAAACTTTAGGGTTTAGGTTAAGTTATGGACATATTTCTCAACAAATGTAAATGTCCCTTCTGTGGGGCGAGTAAATGTATTCTGATTCAATGTCTTTTATTTTACACCTTTGTTTTTATCAAGGATCTATAATTGAAACAAGTTTTCCAACATGAAAATTACCTTAACTTTAAACAATACCTGGAGCACAAGAGGGAAATGAGCATGGGTCTGCAACACAGTTATCTTTTCATTAGAGATTTTTTTAATTGTGTCTGGCTGTTAAGGGAAATGCTCAAACATTTTCTGTAGGCACTCATTTGAAACACATTCTTGTAAACAGCCATGGCCTGATTTAACTCCCGATGGGCGTGTGTGTGACGTATATGTGAGCTTTTATTGTGTGCGTCTGTGAGAGGGAGAGGGAGTCATGGGAGAGAATGGAGGGAGCAAAACACCAGAGCAAGTCTCATGCTGGTGGCTAAAGTTATGAGAAAATGTACACTATGTTCACAATATAGTAATCTCATCATCCTACGTAGAACAAGCCATACAATATTGATTATGTTTGATATATTGCCGAGCCCTAACTATAAGGTATTTAATTAAATTCATATTTCAAAAGGCATAAAAAGGTCTTCGACAAGTAGGTGTCTTTAAATGTCCCACGCAGGGTTTTCACAACAGCAATACGACCATTTTTCAAAACATCAACATCTAATCATACGCATTAATGTAAGCAAATGAACCATCAACCTAATTTTCAGGTTATGCCTTTATCTGCATTTCTGAACTATGACGTACCAACATTTTAACTTGACAAACAACGAGTAAAATCCCCTCTCACCTTGGTCAGGGCCTGGTCCGTCTTCTCCGGGTTGCTGCGGTGCGCCTGAGTGACATCACTGAGGGGGAGGGGCATGTACTGAAGAGTGAAGTTGCTATTAGGCAGAGAGGGGAGGAAGGACAAAGATAATATTACCCTTGCAACAACAAACTGGAGGAATTATGATGTTAACAAGAACAAACAGGAACACACCAAGGGCTTTTATAACACTTGTCTTCGATTCCCTAATATACGCAAATGCACACACACATTTAAACAAACTTCACACATGAAAAAAAAGACTGGCATGCGCGTCAGAGGGCTGATGAAACTCTGTGTAAGAGTCAACTCTTCACAGAGATGCTTATTCGTCTGTGAATGTATCCCCTCTTCAAAGGTTTTTTGAGTGTGTGTGTGTGTGTGTGTGTGTGTGTGTGTGTGTGTGTGTGTGTGTGTGTGTGTGTGTGTGTGTGTGTGTGTGTGTGTGTTTGTCTTACTGCTCCAGCGCCCTCGCCACGTCTTGGAAGCCCATTGCTGTGGTGTTGTTGCGATCCCACGTCACACTCCTAAAAGGGATCAAACCAGAAGGAAATAGGGGGAGACAGGTGAAGGAAAGGAGAAGATGAGTAACTTTCTAATGCTCCTCAAACTGCATCATGGAAGCCATCACTCATATAGGGAATGCTAGTCCTCTGCATGTTTTGCACATTTCTGCTAAATTGCGACGTATTTTCTCACTGCACAGCTCTGCCACTTTAAATTCTGATAAACTGAAAATGATTTTATTCTGAGAGTATGTTGTCATGTTATTTTCTTCCCTTGGAAATTATTGATTTTTTTTATATTTAAAAAAATGAAAATCAATAAAATAAGTATTTTAAAATATTAAAAACATACAAAAAAATATTTTAGAAAAATGTTTGTTTTGTTTTTTTATATAAAAAAAAGAAAAAGATTAAAATAATTATTGAAATAACATAAACACATATTATAAAATATATAATTGTATGCTTAAAAAAAATATACATAGACAAAAACTGTTATTTGATTTTCCTTCATTGAAAACGTAACGGCTTTGTAATCCATTCGGCACAAATCCAAAGTGTGCGTATTTTAGACCCCCTCTCTACCCATGAATAAAACAATATATACAATATAACCATTATAGCAGCAAAGCAGTTGCATTGTAGGCTACATGTAAACCTACTTTGCAATAAACCTGACTCTGAACACACACACGGCTAATATCACAGTTAATGCACTTATCTGACCACACACACACACTCCATAAAAGGATTAACAAGACGAGTCCATATCCCGACATTAAGAATGCATGGTGCAGCTAATGAGCTTCTGTTATTCCATGGTGCAGATTCTCCACCTACACTCGGCTCTGTCTAACTCCTGTTTTTAATATATCACTCATTTCTCAGCCCGATTCCTTTCAACCATCTTCCTCCTCCTTCCCTCGACTCCCTCTGCCCCAGAAACTCAAATCTGACTCCTTAGGTGGTCTATTTCTCCTCCTAACTTTCTCCATCTGTAGTTCATATCAAAATCGTTTCCTCCACCCAAACGCTTCCATCCGACCCCCTGTAGCGCTACTGTCCTCCTTTCCCCTTCACTCAGAGTTTCCATCTGTTCCTTTCGTTCCAAAACACACCAAAAAACACTCGTCTGCCCTCAGTCTTTTTCATTTCTGATGAAATACATGGTATGCCTGAAGGCTATTTCCCTAGCTATACCTCCACCTTCTCTGTCTCACCTTCTTACAGATTCAGAAACGCTTTATTCGTCCCACAGCAGGGAATGTTACAGTGTTCCAGCAAAGTAGCAGTTAGGGCTGTCCCGAATAAAAATGTTCGGGCTCCGGATATTCGGTAGTAATCAGCAGCGAATATTCGGCCGCGTGTTGTTTTATAGTTATTTGTTAATGTACTGTATAACCCAATTTGTGTTCTTTGAATTTGAAAAGGCTATTGCATTGTGCTTGTTACTTTTGTTGCAGTTGTATATGTGTAATTTGGCTTGGCTTCCTATTTTGTATGGTCATTATTTTGAAGGAGAGTTAGCGCTGTTGACAGGAAGTTGTTGTTGCTATGGAAACAACGTGACGGAGATTAACGGAGAAAAAGTCATATCTACATTATAAAGACGGAGAAAGTAAACGATAACGTTTATGGTTAAGTGTTAGCACCCCCCGAAGAGGCACAAGCTCTTACGTTGATATTGGAGTTTTCAATAAATTCAAAAAACGAATAACGAAATTGAAACCCGAATAGTACTCCAACGAACGGGTACAGCCCTAGTAGCAGTGAAGATAAAAGGCAAAATAAATTCAGTAGACTAACATATTAATTAAAAAGGCAATAAGTAGCACCGTAAAAAGAAAATGAGCAAACATATCAAAGTACTATGATAACATTATGTTATATGACTGTCTTGCAATCAACTTTTATTTAAAGCTTAGGAAGTTCATTTTTTCATATAATTTATCATATAATACCCCTTATTATTACTGTGATGAATATGATTTTGTATAACTTATTTTCAGTTTTTAATATTTGCCTGTTTTTCTACAATTACCATTATTTATGTATGTATATATGTACTTGTTCTGTTTTTGTTTCATTTTTTAAATGATTATTTCTATAATTATTACAATATTTTTCTTTATGTTATTTAAAGTCTAGCATGGACAAACCAAGTCAAAAAGATCATTCACAAACAGTGAATGAGCAGCCAGTATTAACATTTCTCTTTCATCCTCTTTCTCTGAAGCACTACATTGAACACAGTGTATCGTCTCAAAGCAACCTCAGTATATCCTCTCCTCAAATCATACCTACATTTCCCTGAAGCCTTTTTCCTTCATCTGCCCTCTAACCAGGAAAGAGGACTGTTGAACTCCTGAGCTGTGCCCTCACCAACATAAGTCAATAGTACATAAATATGTCTGTCCCTATTGTTACTCTAAGTCAGGGGTGTCAAACTCAAATACACAGTGGGCCAAAATAAAAAAAATGGGTACTAGTCGAGGGCCGGACTGGTTCAATGTTTATTGCAAAACTTATTGAAATTAACTTATTGCACATATTAAACTGCACATATTTGAAGAGGCCATACTATGTTTTTAGATTTTTTCCCCTTTCTTGTAGTGTGTTATATAGGTTTTTCTGCATGTTAATGGTCTGCAAAGGATACAATCCCAAGTTCCCTCAAGAAAGAGTTTCTCTTCCACACACTCCCCTCCCCCCCCCCCCCCCCCCCTCTCTTTACACAGAGGGGACACATGTTTATGTATAAAAGACATGAAAAAGTGGATTTTGCATAATAGGTGACCTTTAACATTCAACACACACCTGAGCGTTGTGTTGATCTGCAGGGCTTTGCTGAGCATCTTGGCACCGGAGTCCTCCAGCAGGTTTCCGCTCAGGTCGACCTTCCGTAGGCAGGCATTGGAGCCCAGGGCGTTGACCATCACTGTGCCCCGCTGACGGAGCCTCGAGTCGGCCAGGGAGAGGGAGTGCAGGGCCTGGAGGAGCCAAGATGAGAGAGGATGGGAGATGAATGTGAATTGATGTTTCAAGACGTGACATTAAGCGACGAAAACTATTTAACCCGACATGTATTCCAGGTAGATTATAGATAGCGCTTTAAGTTTCAAAACATCTGTGAAGGGGTCCTTGTTTTAATGATCTCTTCTAAACCTTTCATCCACGTTTTCTTTTATTGATTTTATAAAATCAATAATTCAAGAACCTGGATGAAAATCTGAGTTTTTTTAAAAACACCATTTTTCCGCTTGAATACGATTGCATTTGAATAATTTATTGTTGTTTTATTTGCTTAGAGAACCCGTTGCATAATAATCATTTGTATATTTGGACTTTTTCCCCCATTCAGGCCCTGTGGGGAGATCATGAGTTTGGTCGTGTGTCTGCGTGCTTGTTTCTTACAGCAACTGATCAAGCATATTACGGGACCTCAGCATCATATTGTTAGCTTTCATTTATAAACGCTATGCAACTAGAACTCTAGCGGTTGTGATCACTTATAACTTATGGAAATGTATTATGTTTTAATATCATATTCTTTACTGTCATTGACTGCTGACTATTTGAGTTTCATCTACTTTCTGTTTTCTATTAGCTTTCTGATTTCGGTTGTCTTTCGATTAACTGTGGTTAACCAGTTTATTTGTTTGTTTGTTCAGCTTGTGTCTCGTTTGATTGAGCCATGCCTAATCTTACACGCATACACACATTTATATAGTTAAAGGCTGTTTTGCATGACGTTTTGTTTAGTGTTAGAGAACTAGTGCAGTGAGGTTTTTGTTGTTTGGTTTGTTTAATTAGTATTTACAACATAGCTCTTTTTGTTGTATTATTTTCTTTTTACACAGCACCCACCAGGCTCTCGTTCTTTTGTTTATTAGAAGCACATTTGTTTGTAACCTTTTAGTTTGAGTTGTTAATAACTAACTTTAATTTCACCAAGAACAACTGGTGTTCGTGTTCATTCCCTTTCGCTTGTAACGTGTTGGGCCTTTACTCTTACATGTTTACATGCTTTAATGTTTGTCGGCTCCGTTGTGATTGGTCACCCACTTAGATATGTGCCGGAAATGTCCCGCCCCTTAGCCTATAATGTACAATGTGTTAGAGAGCGCTAGCCAATAGAAGCGCCAGTGTTACGTAGTGATGTCATTATGTTAGGGAAGTAAACAAAGGAGTCCAATGGAGGCGTTTTATGCAGGTGGGGAGTGTGTGGAGATAAACTCTCTGGAGGGATCTTCTGGATTTGAGCCTTTGCAGACTATTTACATGCACACAAACCTATATGACACATTACAGGAGAGGGAAAACCCCAAAAGCATAAAAGGGCCCCTTTAATAGGTGAGATTTAGAGATGCTAGGTGGTAGATTTTGTGGGATTACACCAGGCTAACCGTCAGCCTCTGATTACATTTGTTGTTGCTAAACTAAGCCAAAGGATTAGAATGGGGCGCTACAACCAAAGCTTTGTCACACTTTAAGATGCTGCTGTACGACTTGTCATTATTTGCTGGTTGAGCCAACTCCCAGACTGACTGATCTCTAATAAACTCGGGTTGCACTCAGTCAGAACTTTCACTTCCAGGCGCCTGTTACTGCTCTCGCAGACATGCATCAAAGCCTAACTCGGTGCGAGAGCATCATTGTGAGCTATCACCATCAACAGTGCTAAATAATTGAGTAAGCTACTTGTCATGCTGGATCTGCAGAGCGGAGAGCAGAGGGAGCCCCGGGAGCCGCACGTACACACCGAGACCTAATCATCTGCAGAAGCCCAGAGACAACATGACTAGAGAGCATGTTCAGACCCTTTGTGTGTGGCAGGTAGAGACTGGGCCTCAATGACCGAGATGCAACAGAAGTCATTACCGAGTGTGGATTTCAGACTGTCCTCCCTCACAGCATCAGTCCATATGCTGGCACTTCACTTTTTATGTTTATATATTATGGTGGTCAAATAATTTACAATATACAGCTGAATCTCATTAAATAAGAATATTGTGGAAAAGTTAATTAACTTAAAAAGGTGTAATATTTTATTTTATGTTTATTGGAATGTTTCTTCTTTGAATTATTATTTTATTTTGTTTATCTTTAAATGTATATTTTAACATTAAATTATAATGTGTTTATTATATTTTATTTGTTTTTGTATGTATAATATGTTTTATTCGATCTTGACTGGAATTTCTTTTTATTAAATGTTTTATCTTCATTGCATTTTTTTCCTTTAAAAGGGGACCTATCATGCAAAATGCACTTTTGTACGTCTTTTATACATGAATATGTGTCCCCGGTGTTCCAGGGAACTCACCAAGTGTCAGAAAACACAACCCTCTCTATTTTCCTCCATACCCAAATCTCTAAAAAAGGGGCTGCAACGGATCTGATAAAAACTGATCCAGATTTGAACACTGTCCTGACGTCAGGACGGTGGCGCTACGGCTATTGGGCCAACTCCACCAATCAGGAGGAGACAGCCACGGCCATTGCCGTTCGAAAGCGCTGGAGACGCTGTAGTACATATGCCAGGCCTGTAGATGGTGCTGTTCTCACTGAATCTGCCCTTGCTAAAACAGAGCTAAAAAAGTGCAAATTGAGCAAAATGAGGCATGGCTAAAATGCATGATCTGTTTGGTATTTTGAAAAAAAAAAAGTATAAATATGCCTTATATAGGTATGGTCCTACACTATATTATTCAAATATAGCATGATAGGTCCACTTTAAATGATTATGTGTATATAATATGGTAATCCTTTATTGGACATCTTTACTTTAAATTCTTATGTTTATATCTAATATTGCATACATTTTTTTTCATTTTCCCTTTATTGGACATTCTTACTTCTAAGGATAATTAAAGAGTTTTTGATTGAACCCATTTTGATTCTAAAATGCACATGAATGAGCACAGAAACATTTGAACTGTGATTTTAGAGCGTGCGGCGCGTGTAGGCGGAGATTTGATGTATAATCCAATCCAACTCACACACTCTTCCTCTTGCACCAAATGAACCAGTTTCTGCAGAATTTCCTCCAGCACCCTGAGGAGGCAGAGAGAAGAGGAGAGACATTCATCATGGGGGTAATGTCTCCGCTAGCATCAGTGCTGCTGGTTCCCCGCCTGCTCCGTACCTGCCCTTGATGTTGAAGTTCTTCCCCAGCATCAGGTGCTTGAGGGACGGGTGCCTGGAGAACGCTGGGATGACAGCCAGCAAGTCAGCATCTAAACCTGAACACACAACAAAACACACATAAGTGAGTTCAATAAGGATTACATGTGTACAGGTGCCAAAGAGAACAGGGTGTACGAGAGTTCATCTTTTATAAAAACAAACTTTTGTATCAAACTGAAACCTTTCTGGGCCGTCACACCATCATTTGCTCTGCCACATTTGGGGCTTTTAAGGCTCAGTTTTTCATCTCCTGGTCTGCTTTGGAACGAAACATCACACTGCCCACTGAAATTCCAAAATACTCCTAATTAACTGCCCCGCTCCCACCCACTCACATCTTTCAAAAAAAGCTCAAGGATGGAGGATGCTGCCAAGAGGAAGCCGTTACCATGGCAAGATATGACAGCGACAAAGCGTTAAATGCCTCATTCAGAGAGGGAAAAATATCCACGGTTAAATAAACCTACATGCCTCCGGTGTGAAGGGAGTTTATTCACGTGTCAATGACAGGAAGCTATGACACCACAGAGGAGGAGAAGTGGAGAAGGCTGCACCAGAGACACATATTCATTCAGATGAATTAGGTAAAGGGAATTTCATCATCATTTTACATCCAGAAGCTCAACTAGCACACATCCTTGAATAATACAACCAATTTTTACATTAATTTGTCGACTCTTTTGTGTTCTTTGATTAAACACAATGTAATTAAGCTCCTTTTATGAGAAGGGCTGAAATTAGCGAACAATGTCTTAGTTGGTATTGTACTTTAGAGGGGAATGTTCCATAACAAATTAGCTAATTATGAAATTTGCAAAAGACGTCAAGAGCTGCGGGAGAAACGTTTTTTCTTGCTTAGGAAGTAAAATCTTTTATATTCCTATTTGTATTTTGTGCCTCTACTGTGACATTATTGGGTCTTGTGTCTCTCTAAAACATCTACTAAAACATCTGCCGTCACTTGGTGTCATTTCTGATATTTCTGTGATCGCCTTTTCTTCATTTCTTATGAACTCTCCCTCACATCCATCCTTAGCTTCATAACGTTTTTAAAGAACGTTGAAGGAAAATAATTTAGGGAATGACATAGGACTAATTTGTTTGACTATTAAACTGCTGACTGTGTCTTTGCTTACTTTGAACAGTTGGAAATCCAGCCTTGAATATATAAAAAAAAAAATCTGGTTATCTCATGAATTAGTGCATCATTGTTTTACAGAGCAGTGGCTTAGTCTAAGACACAATAACATCAGGTGATTGGCATCAGCAGCTTCATTCAACTCTCACAATCATTGTTTCCTTCAACATCAACCAATCCTATTCATACAGCTCTGACACTTCTTCCTCTGCTGAGACACTAATGTTAACACCGTTTGCTGCTGCAGCACCCCCCACCCCCCGACCTCCTCCTAATGTGATGAGCTTTTAGTACTGTCAATTCAACTAAGCTATAATGTGCATGTGTGTTTATCAAGGGGGATTAGCATTCCCAGCAGAATCCCTATTGCTGCACACATTTCCCCTGCTTATTCAAAAAGAGGAGCCTTTCCAGACAAATAGAACTGTAGAAGAAGCTATATGTCATACTTCCCTTGGCACACGTATACATAAGTGTCATAATGGTAAATGGACTGCATTTATATAGCGCTTTTTTTTATTTGACGACATATACAAGTCAGCATTCACCCGTTCATACACAGACTGCCATACAAAGTGCTACCTGCCTATGGAAACTAACATCAAGTAGGTGTTCAGTATCACGCCCAAGGACACATCAACATGTTGACTGCAGGAGTTAGCGAACAAACAGACATTCCAATTGGAGGAAAACCATCATCTTCCTGAGCAACAGCCACCACATTAAACTGTTGTTGTAAAAACATTGTACTAATTAATTTGAAAACTTAAGAGCTCTTAACGTTCTCAAAACCAATAGTGACTCACATGTAGAGCCTCCTTTAACAAGGTACTTCAACTGTTTAGTCATTCACTTCAACAATGTTGGGGTATGCAAACAGACATCCTGACTTGTAGTCTCTAGAATGGCACAAGCTCTAAAGCTTTACGCTGGTTCGTCTATTTCCAAAAAAGGCAATTAAATAAAGTTGTTTTAAGCTTTTTAAACTAAGCTTTTGAGCTTTCAAATAGATGTTTCAATAACTAAGGTGTTTCAGTTAGCGAGAGGGTTCATCCAACTGCTGAGCAAGACCTTTTTAAAGTGACCAGAAGTAACCTTTCACTTTCATGAACTGAAAACTCACTTTGAAAAGGTTAAGGTTTTAAAAAGACCAAAATCAGACTGTGGTAGCGAGCTGTCAATCCCGTCGTAGCATTCCCTGCTTTATGTACCTTTTCAATCTAAATGGGACCATTATTTACTTAATGAACATCATGCTGTATTCTAGAATAATAAGATCAAATAAGATGTACTTTATTGATCCCAATTTGGGAATTATTTGCGTTGCAGCAGCATAAAAGACAAGGCATTGGACATAAGAGAGATTAAGAGTAGAAATAAACAATTCTAAAATGTAAACATCTCAAAATAGAAAATATTAGGTTATAAGTTAATTCTGTCATTGACTTCTATACAATCAGTTAATTTAGCAATGAAATCGCCCCCTGCTGGCTGTTCAATAGAATGCATGTTTAAGGCAGTAGACAATATACATTTTGACACTTAATTGACCATGTTAGTTCTAAATAAGAGCATGTCGTAGTACGCCATAGGTTGACAGGATCATTCAAAATTCCTATAACATACTACAACAGAACATCGAAGTCTATCCCTAGGTGTGTGCAGGAGTGTCTCTTACCATTATCAGAGATGTCTAAAGTCCCCACGCACGCAACTCGAGGAAACAGCTCCTGTATAACGCCAGCACCTGCTGACCTTAACTGTGGGAGGGAAGCGGAGAGGAGTGAGATGAGATGGGATCGCCACGGGCGTCCGTCCATGGAGAAGATGAGTTTATAAACCTGGAGCACAGACCAACAGAGCATACCTCACAGCTGCTGATGTCCAGGTGTAAGTCAGTGATATGAGGGTTATTGGACAGACCTAGAAACAGAGCCCTGAAGAGAAAAAACAGGCAGAGAGAGAAAAAACAGGAGGGGGGGGGGGGAGGAGATAGAGGGAGGATGGGTAATTGGAAAGGAGAAGAGAGGAGAGAACAGAAGGTTGGGGGAAAATAGGAAAGAAAACAGGCATTTAATGGACAGAAGAAAAAGCAAACCGAAAGAAACAAAAACAGAGAAAGAAAGACTCACATGAATCCAATTGCTTTGTTTCCTCCTTCTAACAACCTGAGACAGATCATACGGCCCCCTCCCTACCTCCCCGTTCCGCCCATTGGTTCTCTTCTGCACACCTAAAAGGTTCTACAGACGTCTTAAAAGATTCCCGGAAAAGTATCTTGAAAAAGAAGATTCATTGCACCCGACGTCTGCATCGGAAATCAAGTTAAAAAACAAACCTTCAATATTTAGTCGGGACAAGTAGCCAATTGTTGCACACAGGCCCAGCTGGATACTTAAAGGAAAAAAGGCATTTGCACATCAAGGCTCTGCTGGAGGTTGCTTCTTGTTCTAAGGATACATTTAAAGAGTTCTGCAACATCGGGAGGTAATGAGGAAAAGTAGGGAGTCCGCTCTGTCCATTTTGGCTGAGATCCATGATGCAGTACACAGGCTTCTCTATTGTTGGCGGTTTGCTTTGTTTACAGCACTATTGATCATGTTTTTTGGCTAAGAGAAGCGCCAACAGCGGGCTACACACCTACTACAGAAACTGCAATATTCCTTCTAGTCTCGTTGGGAAACGTTCTTTTTTGTTTCTTCGCTCTCTTTGAGATGCTTCAGATCTTCTGGAAGGATATTGAGTCCTGCACAGAGACACGTCTGTAAGGTGGATGCCGGCCAATACGGGGGTTTCAATCTGCCTCCTCCGATTGAAGGCCAGTCTAACAACATAATAGAAAATGGCTCCATTGTCGAAGAGCAATCTAATGCGTGCCTTGATGATTAAATCCCATTGAAACTACTACAAACTACACTCCATATGGTATGAGCTCTTTAAGAGTCCAAGCCTCACATAGTCAAATAGAAAAATATTGTATTTTTAAAAGTGGTTTGCTGAAGGTTGAATATAGAATATAAAAGGCCTCAAGTGTCCAATTCAACTTAAGCACCTTAAAGCATCACGAGTGGAGTCAAATTTAGTACGATTGGCCCCAGTATCTTTTTCAGATTCATAAATGGTGGTTGACACAGAGAGGTGGAAACAGCCGGTAAAAGGGTGTACAGATAGAAATAACAGGCAACATGAGGGTCTATATAAACCACTTGCATCATAAACCTTCTTTATAGCTAAATATAGACTCTGTGTATTTTCTTTTAGATTAAATTCACCATTGGTCTCTAGATGAATGTGTGCATAGAGCTTCCGGACTGCAATCTGAGGAGGAACGTGGGCTCCAATATTCAAATGAAGGTCTCCTACACCTCCATATTGGCTCATTCACAGTGTTCTATCTGTTCTATAAGCTAATTATATGGATGTACTCATACTGGGACATTTGCGATAGAAAGGCTGGGAGAAGTTTTTGTTCAATAAAGAATTTATCTTTTAGCATTATAGTACCATTAGGACTTTGAAACCTCTATCATATATTGCACTTTGATTGCACAGTAATCTGACAGTAATTATAGTCTTTAATCACAATAGTTGGTCTTGTCTTTTCCAAGTGAAGGCTCAACTGGGTAAGAAAGCTTTAATAGGTTTTACGCTACTCCGGTCCAATAGTCATTTATGCTTAGGACGATTCCTAACAGAGTGAAATGACCCGGAAGTTTGAAATGGCAGCCATTATAGGAGCTGGTTAGGTTGTCTAAATGCTACGGAAAGGTGCTTCAATGCGCCCCTCCTTATATCCTTTAGTATAGGGTACACTGGACAATCCGTTATGAATGGAAAGGAGATAATGCCGCTCCACAGTTCCTTGTGAGAGCATCAATTAAATGTGCCGTCACTGTTTAATGTACGCTATGGATACATTGAAAAGGGACAGGGTTGAATTTTTCACTGTTGCCTTTATATTTAAGTTATACATAAAGTTGTTTTTCGGTAAGTGCAGTTACATTTTCTTTCCTATAACCTAATGAGATCTCCATTTCATCTTTCTTTGACCTTATGACCTTTTCCATTGAGGTTGGTGAAAAGAGGTTAGGAAGAGATCTAGAAGCTATATTTTGGACTATTTGAACAGAGCCTTCGAAAAGCCCTCCAATTGACTTGAAAAACTAAGAGTCAGTTTGAACTTAATGGTTTTGAATGTACGGTGAAAATTCAATTGGTGATCGTTACTGTGTGTAGGTATTTTAATATTTCGCCTCTTTTTGCAACTTTTATGCTGTTGTCTTGGCCAGGTTGCCCTTGCAAAAATGTTTGCTGATCTCAATGGGTCCAACATGAATCAAATAAAAAAGTATCTAGTAAGATCTTAATCTATAACATCTGACTATCCATTTGTTTGTAGTTCATCAAAGAGCAACATTTTGGTTTTCCATCCACAACTGCTCCTTTTATGCCTCGCTCCAACATGATACCAGTTCAATATGTCCGGGTCTGTTTGACTTGTAAATTACATCTTGGCTTAAATTGGTGTTTATCTTTCTAGCTCAGCATTTACACCCTGTTCAGAGACATTCTCAGAATGTTGGGAAAGTAATAGTTTGCCAATTGGCTGTCACAGAAGTTAATACACAAGGGAAAGCTGATCACCATCAAAGGAATATTCATTATATAATCACAGTCCCACAACAAACAAAGCTGCAAATACTGCTTAAGGATTTGGTTACCAAATTCATCATTATTGGGCATCAACTAATTAGGGAAGTTAACCAAGGTCAATGAGATTTATCAATCCAACTTTTTGTCCCAAATATACTTTTTGAGACTGATTTTTAGGGGAACTACTTTAATACCCAAATCAGCTTTTATTCTATTGTTGAGCTCTGCACAAAAAAAATACTATGTCTCTATAATCTATTTGCAATTCATTGCCTAGGGAGCTGTTAAAGACCCTAAACTGATGACATCACACATTTGAGCTTTAGAGCTCTAGTTTTGGGGAACTGAGAGAGAGTTTATCATATTTATTAATATTTTCACATTTCTAAGACCATTGGAATACCTTGTTTGAATTGTTTTAATGCACGTACTTCCCCTTTAGGATATTTGCAGATACTACCGACCAATCCGATAACGCTTCTCCGCTTTTTCCCAAAGTGTAAGTCTAAATGAGCGGAACTCAAGCTATTTTACGAATACAGATTCTGATTCAGCATGTTGGATTGCGAAATGTCTAATTGTTATTTAACGTCTAAAACCTCCGTAAACTACACATTATATGATGTTATCTGTTGCCATCTAAGCCAATATATATCAATTACAACATACAGTTTCCCATTTCATCTGTACTGCTGGATTCTTTAAACCTGAACATTTTCCTCAACCTCCTTCATACCTTTATATGTGTCCACTTAACATTCTGCTTGCATTTTCAGATGTGGCTTTGGTATATTTATGACAGTCACTGAAGTGTTTTTTCTCCCACTTGTGAATCTGGAGGGTTTATTTTTCACAGGTCACTTCTTCTGTCAAACCGGCCATTCCTTAAAAAAATAAAAAGCTGAGTATCTTGACAGCGCATTTTTGCTTTGATGTGCTTATCGGACTGAATTGTTTATCTTTGAATATTTTATTTATATTTCTCAGAGAGAAAAGTAGCATCGGCCATCTGCATCTCATCACTCCCCAAAGTTGTTAGGGTGATAACATCTTTAATATACCATGGCTGCATTTACATAGGACTTCTATATATTTTCGGAGTATAATCTGAAAATAATCTAGACGTAAATAAAACATGCAAATGGCGCACACCTACAGGAGTACTGTAAGATGTAGAGATGCTCCTTTTAATCCATTTGCTGTTCAAACAATTACGTTTTTTCCTTGAAAACCCTTTTTCTCTGACAGAGACTCACCTCAGCATATCAGGAGGGACTTTCACCGAGGCCAGGCTGACATGGGTCAAGCTGAATGCGGAGCTGAAGAACTGGCGGAAAGTTGGCAGAGAATCTCTCGCTTTCCTGGGAAATGGAAAAGAAAGGAAAAACAGCAGAGACAGAGGGTCAGCACAATAGACAGAGCACAGATGCTGGACGGACAGAAAACAAAAGGAAGGTGAACAAATGATTATGAATTGCATAGCATTTGCGGCATAGCCCAATCTCCTGGATGGTGAAGTCCATCAAATGTCTTTGGTTAAATATCCTGAGAGTTAACGAAGATAAGGGGAGTCTACCTTTTAAGATAGTGGTGAAAATATAGCCGTTTTCAGGTTAATTCAAATGTAATAAAGCAGTGAAGCAGCAAAAAACAGTGAAGAAAAACAAAGGAAAGATTTCCAAAGAGCAGAGACAGAGGGTGAGCATAATAGATGGAGCACAATCAGACCGATAGACTGACGGAAACCAAAAGGAAGGTGAGCACATGACGAGATAAGAAGCCCGTGGTGACGAGGAGGCGGATGACGGGCGAAGTCGATATGCTGATAGAGAGTGACAGGAAGTTTGCAGCAGACAAGTGGAGAGCTGACAGAGAAGAAACGGAACAACAGGAGCGAGGGAAAGAGAAGTAGACATAATAAATGTCACAGCCAGCATCTGTCACACAGACTCGGAAAAGGTGAAGTTGACGTTAATTACCGGCCCCGGTTAAAAAGGTAACATTGACCAATTATCCTACCATCAGCTGGAAACATATTGCATTACGGTCATCAGAGGAAGGGCAGAGAAAATGTGGGTGTACGTACAACATCCCTCAAAGACCTTTCAAATAAAAGGGACTATCATCTGCATACAGAGGATGCATGCAGTACGCTGGTTCGAATCTGTATTAAGAACTTGTCAAAGCAATCTGCCTCCACTGCACAAATCAAACCTAGTAGGGGAGGATGAGGAGGGGGTCCGGGAACAGCGGGAGAACAATTAGGTTTGTTTTCAGGAACAAATTACCTGCTACCCATTATCAGGCACAATGTGTTATTTACTTGCAGATGGCTTTTTTTGGTTTAGTTTTACGGCTCAATTCTTTCACCATCATCCTAATATACGAGCGCCGTTTCCGTGACGAGGCACTTTAGCTAACACGACTCATCATTTTAGTTGTTCATTAGCCACAATGCAAGAAGTCACTCTTCTGAGAAAAGCAAGTGATAGGAGAGGGAACCAATTATGTTCTTCTAGATAATTAATCTTTCCATTTTTCCCTGGCAGACATTTGAACTCATCATTGCGGGGAGAGCACGGCAGGTGTTACTAATTTGGTTAACGAGGGCTCAGATCCATATATGGACTGCAGTCATTAATGTTATTAACTACAGCTGTGTCTTTTGGTGTCACGCATCAAAATGGCTGCATGCAACATGTTTCCTTCACTCTGTTGTACTTCTTTTCTTGCGCTAATTGATCAACAGAATCAATTAGCGCCAGATGGTTGAGGGAATCTTTTTTTTGCTTTCATAATAAAGTCACTCATCATAGCGTTATCAAGTCATACAAAATAACAGCCCTGCCAGCGGCTGTGTGAGGATCATACTTAGCCACTAAAGTGTGCTGAGCTACATGCTATCATCAGCATGCTCACACTCTTACAATGACATATGGGTATTACTGACACTAGAAGGTATATGGTCTCCCATATGTTCACTTTTCTGATTGTCCATGTTAGCAGTTGTGAATAAGAACTCTAAAGTAATGGACACATTTATATTGGAGAGTGAAAATGTACATTGTGGTGGCCATGAATGTCTGTACAAAATTCAACATCAATTAGGCTTCAAATGTATTATCAAGATACATTGTTAATAAAAGTCAGAATTGTATTTGAAATACTGTCCACTTTTTTCAGTTGGTATGTCAGTCCAAAACTCAAAGATATTTACTTTGTATTACAATTATTTTTAATGTATTACATTTAAACAGAGAATAGCAGGGAGACTTACATTAAAGGAGCCTGAAAACAGCATTTTTTGTCATTTTCACATTCAACTAAATTCATTGATTATGAAAATAGCTTTATTTTCCTTTTTTTGTTAACAAAAGTATTTGTCATCTCATAGTTACAGTTCTACCGATAACCCGTCCAATAGAGGAGATATCAAGGTCTCGGTCAAAGTGATGGATCAACTGCTGACACTTCAAAAACACTGTAAACTACTAGCTTTATTTTACGCGGCTGAATCGGTTAATCCATAGGTTAATAATGTGTCTGTCGCTTTGAAAAAATTATTTATAATTAGGGCTGTCCTAATTAACGCCACTAATTATTTTAACGCGATTAACGCATGTGTATTTTTTGTCCTCTGCCACCCCGTAGTTTCAGAGCGCATCGAGTTTAAAATACCATCTACAAGCTGATGCTGACAGCCCCGCTCCTGCCGCCCGCTTGTGGCAGACCACACTTCCACGCTCACCGGCAGGCCCGGACTGGCCATCGGGAGGACCGGGAGGGTGTGTGGATGTGTGGCGCGACTCGCACGAGCGAGGCACACCTTACGTGTTGTTGTTGTTGTTAGCAACGGATATAAAGAGCTGTTTCAATGAAAACAGAGGAGCGACATTTCGCCGACAACTGCGCCGAGCACTTGACTTTATGCAGGTAGCCAGACAGTGGGACATTGTACGAAAAGTCAGCACACTCAGTGCGCGCAACATGATCGCAGCGTCCAGGCAGCTCCCGTTCGAGCATATATGCCTTGAGCTGCACATAGCTCCAACGATCACACACACACACACACACACACACACACACACACACACACACACACACACACACACACACACACACACACACACACACACACACACACACACACACACACACACACACACACACACACACACACACACACACACACACACACACACACACACACACACACACACACACACACACACACACACACACACACACACACACAAGAGAGAGAGAGGTTCCAGGTTGAATTGAGGCGAATATTTGTAATGTTCAGAGGTTGTTGTGTTTAATATTCATGAGTATATTTGTCATTGTTCAAATGATAAACAAACATATAAAGCATATTTGTCCACTCATATGTTGATAAGAGTATTCAAAAGTTGAAAAATATCCCTCTAAGGTACATTTAGAACAGATAAAAAGTGTGCGATTAATTTGCGATTAACTATGGTCAATCATGCGATTGACAGCCCTATTTATAATCCATAATTCCATTTTTATGTAAAAATAGGAGAAGAAAAGTTAGCTGCTAAAGGTAGCCACTAGAGTGTATGCAGCTTCCGGTTTTGGCTATGCGTCACTCTCACTCCTTATTTGGTAACGTGTTTGTGTGTGTAGAACTTTCCCTCGATTCCATTGGCTCTAGCGGTTATAAAGAGATTTCATCGACCAAGGGGGGCCAGAGATAGGTCAAATCCACCCAAATGACCCCAGAAGTGGTTTCTTTTTGCTAAATCTCTCTAAAAAGGTCAAATGTCACTTGTTTTGCATCAATCTTGCTACAGGGTACTTGTTATATGTTGTACTTTGGATTCCTAAAGCTTTTAGTCTACTAACCCATCATCCAAGGGTAGTTTTCACTATAAGTAAAAAAGAATTCTTGGACAGACACTATAATTTACAGTTTTTTTACTATGTTCAATCTGAATTTTCTTTAAAATAAAAAACATCTATATTGATTCTGACTTTTCTACATCCAACTCACAGGTTTATCATTACTTTGAGAATAAAGATTATTAATTTAACCCTTTTAGAAGGGAAGATATGGTCATTTGTTCTGGGAATGTCATTTTCGAGCCTGAGACCTGAAAAACAGGCTCAGGGTAGAACAGGTTAAAATATCTCATCAAAACCTTGAAATTTTTTTTAATATAATTTGTTTTTAATAGAAGATTGTTTTAGGTTAGTTTTCCTTTTGCTGGAAGGAAATTGTTTTAATTTAATTTCAGATTGCGGAAACTGCTCTTCAATGATTATTTCTGTTCTCTTTTATCGTTTCACTTAATGAGAAAGCTGCTCTACTTATGCAAATTGACCTTCCTTTAGCATCACATTTGCATTACATCTAAACCTTTAGGACTTCATAAGTAAAAAGCTGCTCTGCTTTCCCCTGTGATAACTGAGCAAACTTTGTTCCCATGTGTTTGGCACAGCTGTTTTAATTGCTATGGAGCGGTAATGTGACTGGCTGAGAATAAAATGAATAATCACTACACCCCAGCAATTTCTATTCCGCTTCATCTAATGCCTTTGTGCATATTGCACTGCCAGTATAAGCCCTTACTGCCCTCGCTCACATGAACCAGTGATTTACACTGACTGGTGTGATTGCACCGTTAAAGATAAGCCCCTCAGAATTTGATTTAAGATCAGCTGAGTTGGCTTGTAAAGCGACAAAGATACAGGCCACAATTAGCACTTGGTCGGTGTTAATTTAAATCCCTAACCACACACTTACAAGGTTAAAAAAAAACTTCTACTTCTTGAATAATATATATTTAATTTCCCAAATATTATGGAAATATGAGGTTGACCGTACGTGTAATGGCAATTCCATGTTATCCTAAGGTAATTAAACATTTGAGATAACAGATTTTTAAACGGTCTTCCACATATACAATTTTAGGCAATCTAATGGGTAGGGGTTCAGTATGAGGTCAGAGTAGATCATTACTTAGATGGGGAAAAAAACAAGAAACTGTCAAGAACATTTCAAAATAACTGATCAGTGCATGCAAGATTGTCGAGTAAGCTTTTATTTTATTTTTTTAAGCTTATTACTACGGAGCCCCTAAAAGGGACATGGGGGAGAAAAAAAAAGAGAGAGAAAAAAGAAAAGTCGGAATAACGGGTTAGTTTCTCGTGCGCATGAGGAAAAAAAAAAAGAAGAGAAAAAAATAAAATAAAGTCGGGATAATGGTTTAAGAGACATACAAAAAAAAAATAAAGTCAGGAAAACGGGTTAGTTTCTCGTGCGCACGAGAAACTAACCCGTTTTCCTGACTTTTTTTCTCATATTTTTTTTTCCTGACTTTATTTTAATATTTTG